ACACACACACACACACACACACACACACACACACACACACACACACATGCACATACAGTGTGGGGGGCACATACATATATGCATGTGCTCAGACCTAAAGAGAAAGGAGGGAGAAAGGGAAAGAATTCGTGTAATGAGATCTTTATCATGTATTCCAGTTGTCAGCACTGTGGTGGTGTTCCTTTGGGAGAAGAATGAATGCCAACTAGAATCGGGGCAATTAAGAATAGTAGATAAGGTCATGAGCAAGGGCCTCTCTACCTGATATGCATTGGTCATCCTTTTGCTGTCCACTCACTATTTTTCTTTTCTTTTTATTCCTGGAGAGGATATGCTAGGTTGGATCATTTGTGCATGGGGAGTCTCCAGGTAGGCTCCGGTAGAGTGAAGATATGTGGGCATGAGCTTTTGATCTATGTGGGAACTAGTGATGAGGGGAATGATGGTTTGTTCCCATTTTATCTCAGCTTGGTTAGCATTATGTATACTGTTATTTTTAAAGAGATAGTCTCAGCCATTGTCATGTCTCTTGAATGCATAGTCTCTCTGCTGATAATTGAACCCTTGGAATTTCCTGGCAGTAGGCAGGACGCAGCATGATGTTGATTGCTCACAGGCTGCCATAGGAAAGCAGATCATAAGTCTAAAGAGCTTACCTCTTTATAATCAGCTGAAGAGAGTCATTTCATTTTGATAAATCTTACCATATACAAGTTTGACATTTTACAAATATTCAAATAAAACTGAACTTTGTCCTTTGAGATTATCTTTTATAACTTAAAAGTATTTTCATATGAGAGATCATATTTTAAATTTCAAAATTTTCTTATACGAATATATAACATAAAATATTAAGTATTTATACACATGTATAGCACTGATCAAAAGTTGTCTCAAAAGATTTACTGAATAATTTTTATCTCCTTGTTTATAATGTTTTGTGTAGATGATGTTTTTATAGTCTACCTTATTTCTTGTCTTTGAGACAAGAAATCTGTAGTATATATAGCCTTGACTCTCCGGAAATTTACTATGTAAATCAAGTTGGCCTCAAACTCACAGAGATCCATCTGCTTCTGCCTCTTGAGTGCTGGGGTTAAAGGTGTGTGTCGCCATGCTTGATTAGTTTACTTTATTTCTAAATTTACTGGTTGGTTCTGTTAATTAATAACATACTTTTACTTACAGTTGTTTCATAAGATGCTTAACCTTTATATATACCTTTATATATATATATATATATTATTTTGAATATATTTTGGTCATATTCTTCCCCTCTCCCAAGTTCTTCAAGATCCTCTCTTCTTCCCTACCCACACAACTTTAAATTATTTCTCAAAATAACAAACAAAACCCAATATAACAACAAAACCAAGAAAAAATAAAACCATGCTACCACACACACACACACCCTAAAAACAAACTATAGCCAAATGAAATCACACAACAAAACTGTGGAGTCCATTACATGTTGGTCATCTGCCCCTGACCATGATGCCTACCCTAGAGTGGTTGACACAAGCATTGAGTGCCACCCTATGGAGAACACTCTCTCTCTTCCAGTTCAGTTGTTAGCCTTTACAGTGGTGTCTAGATTTACAGTCACTCACTCATTTTAATATAACAAAATAAATATTATAAGATAAAACAAAAACAATCATATCAAAGTTGGATGAGACAAACAAATAGAAGGAAAAGAGTCCAATAGAAGGCACAAGAGTCTTTCTCACACTCAGGAATCTCATAAAAACACTAAACTGGAAGCCGTGTGTGTGCGCGTGTGCGTGTGTACAGGAACGACCTGGTACAGACCTGTCCAGGCGATGTTCCTGCTTCCTCAGTCTCTATGAGTTCATATTTGCTCATGCTATTAATTCTTCTTTATCCCATCCTCAATTTTTGAGTAACAGAATAATTGGTCCACTTTGAAAGTTAGTTTTCAAAAAAGCCTATAATTTAATGGTTCTTTTTGAAATTTCAGATTGTGATGTGATCAGAAGGAAATATTTTTAAGCAAAAGTGGTAGATCCTTGCAAATAGCTTATTTAGTATTCTTAGCACACATGTAAGACCAGGGAAGTTATATGTAGTTCATTTCTAATCTATCTTGCATCAAATAGGCAGTAGGAGAATGGAAGTGGGGAGTGAGATACAAGAAAACTTGGTGCACTTTTCATAGTAAAGTAGCAAATTGTGCTGGTTCTGGGTAGTAAGCGGCGCCACGGGCATTCATTATGGAAATCACTGTACATTTCTAAGCACTAGAAACCTACATAGTAAAACAGGAGAGAGAGAAATCATCAAATAAAGCAGGAAAACCAGGATTGTAAGTCCTAGATTATCGCATTTCCATACTGAGTGCCATAAATAGACCGGGGTGCTATGTGTTTATTTTTGACTTTGGCTAAACAGTTGAAGTTCATATCCTAGCTCTACCTCATAACCTTTATAACCCTGGACAAGTTCCTCATCCTAACTATGTCTCATTTTCCCAAACTCTAAAATCCAAACTGTAAGAACTACCTCCTAGGTTTATTGTAATGAGCAAATAAGTTTGAACATGGAAAGCACTGAAACTATACACTAGTGCTGAGTTGTGACCCTTTGGGGGTCCCCAGATTAGATGTCCTACATACCAATATTTACATTACAATTCATAACAGTGGCAAAATGACAGTTATGAAATAGCAACAAAATAATTTTAATGATTGGGGGTCACCGCAACATGTATTAAGGGGTCTGTATTAAAGGGCCACAGCATTTGGAAGGTTGAGAACCACTGCACTAGTGTTTAGTACTTAGTTTATGCACAAAATGTGTTTGTTGTCTTCATAATTATATTCTTGTCAGCATGGCCATTACACTTACTGCATCTATTAGAGTTCTGTAGTCATTTTAACTGTGGAAATGATGTCATCCAAAATACGGGCCTATCCACCACATGCTTCTCTTGGTCAATACTTTTCTTCTGTTTTGCAGGGAAATGGCTCATTCTAAGGCCAACTTTTCATGGTCTACTCCCTTCCACCCTTGCCTTGAAAACCCAGCACTGGACTTGTCAAACTACCGAGCAATCTCATCTCTTGACCTCCTTGGAGACTTCAAACTCGCCTTGAACAAAGGAGAGGAATCTTCAGTTTATGAAGATGGGAGTTCTGTTGCCTCCATGCCCCGCCCACTGCGAAACCGAGCCTTCTCAGAGAGTCACATCAGCTTGGAGCCTCCAAACTCCCGGGCCTGGGGGATGCCTCAGAGGGAGCCATTTACTAAAGGCAGTGAGACTCAGCCAGAACTCCTTGGGGCCCGAAAGAAGGCTTTCCCTCCCCCTCGCCCTCCTCCTCCCAACTGGGAAAAATATAGGCTTTTCCGTGCAGCCCAGCAGCAGAAGCAGCAGCAGCAGCAGCAGCAGCAGCAGCAGCAGCAGCAGCAGCAGAGGTGTGATGAGGAAGACGAGGAAGTAGAGGAGAAGAAGGAGCAAGAGCAGGAGGAGGAGGGACGGAAAGAGGAGGACCTTCCACCCCAATATTTTAGTTCAGAAACCACTGGTTCCCATGCCCCTAATCCAGATGAGGGCCTGGAACAGCCACAACCCCTGAAGGTGGGCCACCTGGAGGCCTCAAGGCAGGCCTCACAGAGTCTCCCAGAGCAAGAGGTCTTTGCTCGTCATCCCAGTGATTTTGTGCCTCCTGTAAGGGGCCACACTGGAGCCCAGCCTGAGAAAGCTCAACCTCCTTGCTATTATGGCGCTCATGGATTGTGGAGGACAACTGAGCAGGAAGCCACTGTGACCCCAAAGTAAGTGTTTGGAAAAGACAATGGGTCCCAGAAAAGGCAGCCAGCAACATGAATTAGATTTCCCCTCTATTAGTTAGCAACTGTTCAGTCTTCTTACCTGGAAAACAGGTGTGATAGATAATGTACCTGTTCTACCAGGTTCTGACTATTAACATATTGCATGTAAAGGACATTAACAGATACTTGATGCATAGTAGGTGCTCAGGAAATGAAGTTCAAGGTTTTATCCTTATCATTGAGAAAATATGCTATTGCTTCTCAATAGCTCTATAAGGTAAACATCAATATCTGACCCCCAATCATGAAAGCATGAGCCATTCTTGGCTTGTCCTCGGCCTTTTCTAAAGCCTGGCTCCTATCTGCTCTAGCAAAGTAGCCTGGGCCTCTGAATCATTCCCCCAGTCCCAGAAGAAAGATGTTGCTGAACTAGATGCTCTGATGGTTCCTTAAATAGCCAAGGACATTCTTTGTCCCTTCCACTTTCTCCTCCCTCTTGTTTTCCTGCTTCTTCATGTTTGCTTTGCCAGACAATAGGCAGCAGTTGACAGGGCTAACTGACTGGGCTGAGAGATCAAAACAGGATTGTGGGCTGCCATTGACTTCTATGTGAGTGCTCATCTGGGCATCACTCTCTCTCTCTCTCTCTCTCTCTCTCTGTGTGTGTGTGTGTGTGTGTTCATGATCTCCATTGCTCAGTGTCTGGCCTCTTAGCTCTCCGTTCCCTCTTGCAGAGCTCCACTGGGGATGAGCAGACAGGTGTCCCCTAATTGTTTTCTTTAAATCCTTTTATAGCAGGATCTTGCCTGGGAGTGGTTGCTATTAGAAATACCTTGTTTATGTGACTTTTATGGACAGGCTAATCTTGTTACTTGGTTATCTGGCACTGATTGAGCAGTTCTCTGAGGTGCCATAAGGAAAGCATTTATAAATCCCAGCTCCTGGGCTCTGTGAGAAGCCCTTAGCAGACCACATGTGGCTCCTTCTCAAATGGAAAATATGTTGCAGAAACTAGCTGTGCTGTGCTTGTCATGTATTACAGCTGGAAGATTGAAAGGTTACCTGGCAGATAGTAGGCACTGAACTAATATTTCAAAGGCTAAATAGATAATCGAATAAGTTTTCAATTAAGCACTTACTATGTGCCAGACACTGCCTGACATTTAATGTACATTATTTAAGTTACTCTTCCCAACATCTCTGTTGGCCATTATCATCCCCATTTGACAAATGAGGTAGCCGGAGTTGAGCAAAATAAGGGACTAATTAATTCAGTATTGTGCCGCAAAGACTCAAATCCAGATCTATCTGCCACCAAATGCAGGCAGCTGCAGCTGCTGCAGATCTATCTGCCTCCAAATGCAGGCAGCTGCAGCTGCTGCAGATCTATCTGCCTCCAAATGCAGGCAGCTGCAGCTGCTGCAGCATCCTTGTCCTCGTCGTCCACGTCCTCCTCCTCATTGTCCTCCTCCTGCTCCCTGCTTCCTCCTTCTCTTCTCCTTCTCCATCTTATTGTGCAGCCTCTCTCAGAAAGATCTTCTTCTTCCAGTTGGGTGGGAACGGTACAGCATTATCTTCTCTCTTACAGGGTAATGTATACCAGAAGTAGCAGTTCTAGGCTATGGACTTTTCTCCCTTATGACTCTTTATTGTCCTGACACCTGGGCCACTGAGAAAGAAATCACTGTTTCTAAACATTGTATAACCTGCTCCAGTCATTTGTTTGTAACAAATTATAGGATGCAAGGGAATACATTCATTTGCACCCAAGCTTGGCCTCTAGCTGCAAAAATCAATTCTAAATGTTTCTTCTGGTGATAAAAAATTTAAGGAAGAGCATCATTTCCATCCTAGGTGAAGTTTCTTCACCTGTTTACTGTGTGCTGAGCCTGATTTTAAGTATTTTCATGAACAGCTCGTTCCTGACATGTGATGTGCTCGTTCTTCGGGTTTACAGTGATGTGAAAGCAACATGCACTCAGTAGAAGTGGCATTTGAAGGTGGGAGTGTGTTGACTTTTTCCTAAGCTAGTAAGAGTCTTCCAGCAACCTTTAGTGGTACTGGGGAGCAGCAGAGGCCGTCAGCAAATGATGAGAGAAATGACTGCCGCTTTGCAATGTGCTGTGCTAGGTTGCAGGCTTTGAGAGGTTAGGTGTAGAATAAGTTGTTTTCGTTTAGGATGGGTTTATTTGGCCATTGATTTAGTCTCCCTTAATGAACCTAGTAGAGAGTTTTAAGTACTCTCCTCTACCTTTCAGGTGAGAAAGGTGAAGCTAAGAAAGAACCTTACTTTCTCACAAGATCGCAGGCAGTCCAAGTCATAGCCCACAGCGTTGTTTCAGTACCATCGGTCCTGGTGGTTCTCTTCAGACTCTAGGAAAGTATAAGATAGATAGTGTTGAGCCCAGTAGATGTTTAAGGTTTGCAATGTGAAAAGCAACAAAAGATGTCCAAATTTCAGCCATGCTAAGCCACAGTATCATTACCACACATTTACTGTTTAGTTACAAATTCTGTAGCATATATGAGAGGAAGTGGTGGAAATCATCAGTCGTTGCTCCAGGCTAATAACTGATGCCAGTGTAGATCTGGTTGGCACTGCAAACTCTAAGCACGTTCTCTCGGTACTCAGTGGAAAGTTCTGATCTTATGTTTAATGTTTACTTTCAAATTCAGATTAGGTTCTTATAGATTTCTTCCAATCCCTTTCCCATTCATGAGGGTAATGAGGAAAAGACCCCTGGAGCACAGTGCTTCACACGACCTACTGTAATATTGTGCAGGGTTGTACCGGCCAACAAACTGACTTTCCATGGAGCACCTGAGTTTGCATTGGTACACTTTCTGACTCCGAAAATTGATGTGTACCATAAATTCTTATAAACAGGAGTTCTCAAAGCTCATTTCTTTTCATTCCCTCCATAATATTCTCTCTTCTCTGATATCAGAGGCATAGTCCAGCTTGAAAGTTCCTTACAAACAGGGGTTTGTAGAGTATCGAGTTGTTCATTGGTCGCCATCAAAGAAAGTAGAGGATAACTGCACAGATGTGGAGTCAGGTGGCCGAAGGAGAATCGCTGCTGTGCACTTTACTGGCTGCTCACCTGGGGAATATAATTTTCCCCTCTCGGTTCTTCATCTTTCCTGTCTGTAAAGTGGTTATGATGAGCATTCAGTTGTGAGTGTCCAAATGTGCACATGTGTGTTACCTGTCCTGGGACAGTTTCTGGGGTATAGCAAGCACTGTGTGTGTGTGTGTGTGTGTGTGTGTGTGTGTGTGTGTATTAATATAATAGTTCTAAGCTTGAAACCCTCTGTGTTAAGTAAGTGTCTCTAGAGTGAGGATTATTGGCATGCCCAGGTTGCCTTTGTGTGATGAATTGAGAGACAGCATAGCATGAATCAGTAAATAGCTGTGGAGCCTTTTTAGCTATTATATTTGACCTTTATCTAAGAGCTACAAATAGCTTCAAAAATGACTAATGAGTTTCTCTTACTTTCCCTTTCAAACAGCTAGAGGTTAGAAAGGACTAGTGACGCAGACAGGTGGGTGGTAGGAGTAGCTGCTAGGCAAAGGGAATATGTATGTACATACATATGTATATGTATATATGCATATTGCTGTATATGTATATATGTGCATATATACATATACATACGTATGTACATACATACATACAAATGTACACACAGCACTATAGTGAGGGTAGACTTTTCCCTTGCATGAACCCTGAGCAGAATTGTTCACCCCTTCGTTACTGAAACCTGACATTATAGCCTTCACTTTCCCACTTTTCTCACTAGACAAGAAGGCTTATTATCACCTGAGTTTAACTCCAAGCCAGGGTGGAACCAGAACTACTTCTTTCCTAAGGAGAAATTTTCTTTCTCTGACTGGGACTCTGCGAAGCACCACTGTGGCCCCAAGGCAATAGGCTCTGCTGCTAGACTTTTAAAGCCCCTGGTATCACTGGCTTCATTCTCCCCATTTCACTCTGCAACCATGCAGGAGGCTTGGGCCAGTAAGAATATTCTGGAAGTGGAGGGATGCTGCCCCTTCTCAGGCCAAAGGGCTGCCCTACAAGAGGCAACGTCAGAAGAGTCTGTGAGAGATGGGATGGACCCTGAGAAATTCTTGGCAGGGATGCTAATCCCAGCCTTCCAAATGGTGGCCATGGTTGAGGTCACAGGTGACTTCTTTGCTATGGGAAATCTATAGTGGGGTGACCATTTCAAGCGGGAGTAGCAACAGGATAGAAGAAATGAGTATGAGGAAAGCCACGGGGTAACTTTGTAATCAAGCAGATCAGGTAGAGCTGGGCTGAGTAGGGGCTGTACTTAGGCAGAAGAAAGGTCCCCAGGAATAAAGGAACACATTTATTCATCTGCTGCCCAGTCCCTCCCTAAAGGTTGTGAACTAATCATTTATCATCAGAAGCCTACAACTTTGAGGTCTTTGTTTTAATAGTGTGTTAATGACTGAACCAGATGATAAAAATGTCTTTTGAGCTAAGGGCAGGCACATAGAAGGATATAGAAATAGACTTTCTACAAGTTTTCCATTGCTTGGCTAGTAGATAGCCTCCATGTGACCTGTCCATGTTTGAACAGTGCCTTCTGGTCCATTTTATAACAGCTAGGGAAAGTGGTGTCATATGTTACAGGTCGAGAAAACCAAGAAAGGAGAAACATCAGTGGTCTCTGAACAAAAGTGCTCAAAGGGTTACCTTTTGTTTCCACAGACAAGAGTTTCAGCACTTCTCACCTCCTCCGGGGGGCCCAGGAATCCCTACCTCTTACTCGGCATATTATAATATCTCTGTGGCCAAGGCAGAACTGCTGAATAAATTAAAAGAGCAGCCCGAGATGGCAGAGGCAGGCCTGGGAGAGGAGGGAGTTGACTATGAACTGGCTCAAAAAAAGGTAAGGTTTTCATATGTCCCAGAGATTTCCAGCATTTAGCTAAGTATCTGAAGGACAACCAGCCCTTCCACGCCCTCTAGTATGTCTTTCATGCCTGTGTTTCAGTATGGAAATCAAACAGCCTCCCCGCAGTCTATTCTCTGATCAACAGTAGTAGCACTAATTGTTATCTCTCTAGTCCTTAAAACCACCCTGCTACAGGGGTTTGGGAGGGGTGTGTGTGTATGTTTGTCTCTCTCATTGTCTGTCTGCCTGTCACTGGGGATTGAACCCAGGACCTTATGTGGTCTGCGCTGGTGCTCTGCTGCTGATCTAAATGCTCAACCTGAAAGAGTCTCAGTCGAAATTTTTGAAGTATTTGGGACCAACACTAGGGCCTAGCATGTGTTAGGAAAGCTCTTTGCAGTGAGCTGCATCCGCAATCAACTTCCCTTCCTCCCTTCCATTCTTCCCTCCTTTCCTCCCTCCCTCCCCCTCCCCTCCTTCCCTACCTCCCTCCTCCCACACTTTCTTTCTTTTGTAGTGCTGAGCTACAGCCCTAGCCCTGCAAGATAAGTATTACTATCGCCCCCACTGTTATTTTAACCAGTTAAAGGGACTACCTTTTCCAAGGTTATATACTAAATGAGTCCTGGATTTCTGCTCTCCCATACTGTCCTTTTGAATTAAGCAATCTAAGTCACTGCCTAAGGCACATCAGAGCTCTGACCAATGGTAGTGCCATTAATTCGTATTCTCTGTAAGTTTCTGGGAGAGAGAACAGACTGACTAAGGAGAAATTATAGGCTCGAAGACTATTATTTATTTGCAATGATGGTCAATTATCTCTTGAAAATACAAAATAGGTAAATGGGGATGTTGTTGTTGTTGTTCCAAGTCTCCCTTTCTTCATCTAAGTACCAGTAGCCTAGTTTTTTAATCAAGTTCCTGGAATCATTTTACCCCCCTTGCACTTACCTATTTTACTTCATAAGCAAATAGAGTTGTCATAGCAACTTCAAAGGCCCAATTTGCCATTTTGTGGGCATGTGAACTCAATGTAAATTGCTCTTCTGCCCATATTTCTCTTTCAGGACATGACCTGTAGGAAAACATAAGGCCATTTTCAGAAGCCTTCCTTCCATTTTTCCATCTGAAGCAAAATGTCAGGGAAATAATTGGACCATGGAAGTGTCAAATTGCATTGATCCAGATGCTCCTCCTTGGAGTCTATGTTTCTTGAACATGGCAGAGCTTCTCCTTGCTTATTCAGGGACGAACATAATGAAGGTCTAGCTAAGGGAAGAGAGATGACTAGAAACGGTAAAGGACAGGATAGCAGAGGGTGATTTGCAATGGCTGCAGGTGGGGCAGGGCAGGGCAGGGCAGTGTTTGTGTGTAAGGGAGAAAGGAGGGGAAGGTCATCAGTTTGCGGTGTTCCAGAAAAACAGCTCAGCTCTGGCTGGGCCTGTAATGACTGGCCAGCTTCCTCCAGTGCATACAAGTACACCTTCTCCAGGTTAACAGTTCAGGCTACAGAAGCCAGGTACTGAAAAACCAAGTGCTCCCTGCGTCTTCATTCTTTCCTCGGTCCCCAGAGGGTTGGCATCCCCAGTGAGTAAGTGAAAATCCAAGTGGGTCCTCCTTTGACACTGACTTCTGTATGGGAGAATGGAAGGTGACAAAATAATCGAGGATGTTTTGAAACCTAGTTATATTTCCTCATTCATATCCCTGGGCTCCCAGTTCTTGGTGGATTTGCTGATCTTTCCCACACTTCCAAGCACAAACATGATGATTCCATGACTTCTCTTGACAACAGGCTTTGGAACCTCCTAGTCTTGATCACCTTCAACATTCCCAAATGAACTATTAGAAAGGAACACTCCAAACCTACCCATCCCAGAAGCTTAAACTAGAATAATCATAACTCAAACACTGAATGGAGCTTACTTCCTGTGCACACAATACTATCCTCAGCATGTATTAGTTCATTTAATTCTTATAACCACGCTGTGATATGTGTGTTATTGTTATTCTACTTTTTTTCCTGTAGGGAAGTTGAAGTCCACAGAAGTTGAGTAATGTGTTATAGGTCAGGCCACTACTTTATGACATTCAAAACAATGTTGCTAGGGTCTATGATCTTAACCACAATGCAATACTGGCTACAAAAGCTGTAGGCAACCAGGATAGCATCATGTCATTCAGAACCTCTTAGTTAAACAAGGTGCTCTCTCTCTCTCCCTCTCCTCCCCTCTCCATTCACTCACCCGCTTGCTCTCACTCCCTCTTGCTTCCTAGCTCACTCTTACTCGTTCTGGTATTTATCTACACCAGGATGTTATGTGTGCACACATATGTTTGTGTACATGTGCATGTGTAGCCTGGAGGTCAACACTGGGTATTGCATTCAGTTGTTTCTTACCTTATTCTTTTTAAGAAAGTTGCGCTCACTAAACTTGGAGCTTAGTGATTGGCTAAAATAGCTCATCAATGAACTCTGGGAATCCCTCTTTTTCCATCATCCCCCAGTGTCGGGGTTACAGATACATTCTGCTGTGCCTGGCTTCTTATGATCCTCATACTTGCATGCAAGCACTTCAACCACTGATGCATCTCTCCAGCCCCTAGATATATATATATATATATTCCTGAGTTCCTTATAATAATAGTAATGATAATGTTTATGATAACAATAGCACAAATAAATGTGTACTTAGCATTTATTGTCTCAGACACAGCAGTAAATAGTTTGCTTCTGTGATCATATTTACTATAAATTGTCACAGCGCCCTGGACAAAGGTAGACTGCTCTAGTTAATAGATGAAGAAGTAAACTTCTTTGTATCCAAAGTTTCTGAGTTCGTAGAAGGCATGATTGGTATCTAGCAGTTTATATGACTCAAATTTCACTCTACTCCATTGCCTTCTGGTGAGTGCAGTCACACAACTGATTATTGCTATAAATTAGAGGATTAGGCTGTGGTGCTTAATTTTGTCGACTTGATTAGATCGATAGGTGCCTAGAGACTGCAAAGCATGCCTCTGGGAGTTCTGTGAGACATTTCCACAGAGGATTAGCAAAGGGTGAGTGAACACATGCCCAGAATGTGAAGATAGGCTGGGGACCCAGGTGTAATAAAGGTGTGAGGGCAGGAAAACCTATAGTATAGGCTCTTACTCTCTGTGCTCCTGGCTGCCACAATGAACTGAAACTTCTGAGATGGCGAGCCAAAGTTCTTCTCTTATTCCTTTAAGTTGTTTTGCGTGGGCATTTCATCACACAAGAAATACAACAAAACTTAGCACACAGGAAGTGCTTCCCTGGAGAAGGATAATAAACAGTAAGAGATTGGACTTGCACTCATGAAATAGAATTATAACAAATTAAAATCACACTGTGTCTTAGTCACTATTCTATTGCTGTGAAGAGACACTAGGACCACAGACACTCTTATAAAGAGAAGCATTTAATCAGGACTTGCTTATAGTTTTAGAGGTTTAGTCCATTATCATCATGGCAGCAAGGCAGGCAGACATTACAGCTGACAGTTTTACATCTAGATCCATAGGCATAGAGATACATGGGAAGATCCATAGGAAGAGAGAGACACTGGGCCTGGCTTGAGCTTTTGAAACCTCAAAGCCCACCTCCAGTGACACATTTCTTCCAACAAGGCCACACCTACTCCAACAAGCCATTGCCTTCTCATCCCTCTCAAGTAGTACCACTCCCTAATGACCAAGGATTCAAATATATGAGCCTGTGGGGGCCATTCCTATTCAAACCACCACACTCTGTAAAGTCTGATTCTAGAAGTTTTATTTTACTTTGTTTGGGGTTTTCTGTTTGCTTGTTTGCAGTTCTAGGTATGGAAGTCAGTATCTTATGTGTGTCAGGAACTGTATGACTGAGCTATACCCCTAGGGTAAAATGCTTCAAAGCTCCAAAAAGAAAGAGGCCACTAAGAGATTTCTAGAAGAGGTTTTTCCCTAGAAAGGGTGGGAGCAAAGCCGGGCCTTGGAGAAAGAACAGGAATAGCCCCACTGCAGAGAAACTGAGCAAATGGAGCTACAGAATCAATTCAGAAATTTAAGAATAGGGGTTGTGAATATCATGTAGTGGAGAGCTAAACCTGAATGGTTCTGGAGAGTGGAGGTAATGGCTCATATTGGATAATAATAATAACAGTGGCCTACCTTTTATTGAACACTTTCTGTGCTAAGTCATATTAATTATTATTGAATCATTACCACTCAGTGTAATGAACACAACCCTTAACTACAGTCCTTCTGCAAAGAGAGAAAGTGAAGCTCAATTAAGTCAAATCATTCAGGTCCTTCAGATAGAAACTGGCAGATCTAGAGGTCAAACACAGGCATTGTGATGGGCAGAATTTTCATTCTCATCCAAAGGCCTCAAAGATGATCCAAGGGGGCAAGGAGCTAGCACACTGTAATAAGCACCAAAGGAAAACATATAAAGTGATTAGCAAATATCTGGTGACAATTCTTTCCAATCTGGGGCCTTAGAAGCTCTCTAGTTACATTTGTTATAGTCTCAGTTGCATTTTACAATGTGGCTTGGTCTCTGGGTACTGCTTACCAATACCAAAAGCTTTGGTGGTAACATGGAAATTCCTACCAAACAGGGAAGGAAACCTGGAATTGCTTTTCAGTTGCTCAGATTTCACTCTGTCTCTTTAGTCTCCATTCTGTCTTTCCTTCCCCTATTCTTCCTTCCCTCCCCCTTCCATTTTTAGTCTGATCATTTAGACAAGTATGTAGGCCAAATTGTAATGTTCTTGCCTTCACCATCCTTGTGCAGGATACAGGTGTGTGCTCTGCTGAGCCCAAATTTGTTTCTGTTGAAGTCCAAGTTCATCCTTTGTCTTCTATTTAACCCTCTTAGATTCAGCTCATTGAAAGCATTGGCCGGAAACTTTCTGTCCTGAGGGAGGCCCAACGAGGGCTCCAGGATGATATCAATGCCAATTCTGCCCTTGGAGAAGAGGTGGAGGCCAACTTAAAAGCTGTCTGCAAATCCAATGAGTTTGAAAAGTATCATTTGTTTGTTGGGGACCTGGACAAAGTGGTCAACCTGTTGCTGTCACTCTCTGGACGACTGGCTCGGGTAGAGAATGCTCTCAACAGCATCGATTCAGAGACCAACCAGGAGAAGGTACAGATGTTGTTCCTGAGGCTGTAGCTTTAAGAAACGCCTCTTTAGCTTTTAAGGGAGCCAAAAAACAGCATTGAGAGTGTGAGCACTGGTTTTCTAGTACCACAAGATATTCTGCATGTTAGCTGTGTGACTATAAGCAGCTTACTTAGCCTTGTTCTGTCTTAGTTGCTTCATTTATAGAATGAAATAAGCATACAGCCTGCTTCATGTGTTTTATGTGATGGTTGAGATAATCCAAGTTAATTACATAAAATAGTGTCCAAAACAGAGTCCATATGGAATCAGTGCTAGCTGTTAGTGGTAGTGATTGATGGTGATGGTAATGATAGGGGTGGGGGTAGTAGCAGAAGCAGAAGCAGAAACAGCCGCAGCAGCAGCAGTAAATTTGCCTCTGATCCCCTTAGAATTGCAAAGGGGCCCTCCATTTTATAGGTTATTTCATTCTGTTATTATTGAATTAAACTCCATTACCTTCCCCTATACAAGTAGCTTTGATCCAGGGTAAGAGGTCCGTACACGTGCACACACCCTCAAATACACACCCCAACTCATGTCCACTCACACAGAGACACCATACAGAAAGCATCACCGCAGTTCAGCAAATGGAAGGGACTTAGTTCAACTTGACGGGAGGCATCCTCAATACCAAACCAAGTGGTGATCCGTGCTTTAAAGACAGACTTAGAGCCGGAAAGATGTGATTGCACACACCCCCATCCCAAAGTGCTGTCATGCTTGCCTTTCTCAAGCTATAGGAAAGGGAACTTTGTATGTAAATGCTTCCAGAGCAGGAAATCTGGGACTGGTTAATTAGCAGAATGTATAGGTGCTTCCTTGGTGAAAGACTTCTGTACAGATGCCTGGGGATGGGGATAGCATTTAATTGGTCCTCTCCTTCCCCAGTTGGTGCTGATAGAGAAGAAGCAGCAGCTGACAAGCCAGCTGGCAGATGCTAAGGAGCTGAAGGAGCACGTGGACCGCCGGGAGAAGCTGGTGTTCAGCATGGTCTCCCGATACCTGCCTCAGGAGCAGCTCCAAGATTACCAGCACTTTGTGAAGATGAAATCTGCACTCATCATTGAACAGAGAGAGCTGGAGGAGAAGATTAAACTTGGGGAAGAGCAACTTAAATGCCTCAAAGAGAGCCTGAACTTGGGGCCCAACAATTTCTAATTCTGCGGGTGCCACTGTACCCCTGCCCATGTGCAGTGGAAAGTGCTTTCGGTCTCCCGTAGCAGGTGCACTAGCCAAGTATATAGAAAGTACTTCACAGATGGTTTCAGCCATCTCCCAAAGAGAGCCTGGGACGGCCCCAAGCTTCTACCTTGAAGGGCTACAGCAAGGTGTGGTTATACTACCATGCTCTTTCCCAGTGAGTGGGAGCCCTTCGCTGCCCATCGAACCATTAAAGTGCCTTCATCTCTGTACTAGGACACCAAAGACATCATCAGTCCTCTCCCTTGCCACATACCCTCTTCATGGTCAGTACAAAACTGCCTTGCAATGTCCCTCTTCCCTAGGGCTAGTGACCTAGCTTAGCCATTGTCCACAGATTTGCTTGAGTTGAAAGCATTCACCTAACACCAGCTTCAGGCCCTCACCCAAAATTGACAGCAGGAGGCACAGAAGGAGAGATTGCATATAAGGGGAGCAAATGTTGGGTATTCATCCTCCCTTCCAGTAAAACCCAGGTTTAAACAAAGTGCGTCCATGTCTACCCTCCCCAACAGCTAGTTGACAGTGTTGTTGTTATGGCCTTCCTGCTACTTTGTTTCTTGCCCTGATATCTCCAGGAGTCGTGTGCCAGGACTTGACTCTCTTCTCCGCTAATATTTCTTTTGCAACTGACTTCTGGATAGAGCTTCAGTATTGAGGAAGAGGGTTCGTATTATATTTCAAATGGCCTTTGATTTTATTTATTTTTATGTTATTTTTTTCCCTTTTAACTAATGAGGCAAGAAGAAATAAGTTAGAGAGGGGGAGATTAGCCAGAAGGAAAACATTTTCTATAGGTAAGCCGGAGTCCACCCTGGCTATGTAATCAAGTGTTAAGACATTGAATTCTCCCTACCATAGCTTCAAGTGTCTAAGAAAGTTCTCCCCTTGAACGCACACCTTCCCTACCATAGCTTGGCTGTGTGCTTACTTGAGGTCTAGATGGCCATGGCATCCCTGAACAGAGTTCGTTCAATGTTTTCTAACTGCCTTTTGAAGCCAGAGTACTCTCCTAAGACTGAACAATGCAGGATGCATGAATGCGTGAGAGTAAGTGTGGACGGCACTCTTCCAACAACTGCTTTCTCACTGGCTAGCCTCAAGCAAGCAAATCTATGAGAGTTTTCAGCCAGGGCCAGACTCCAGAGAAAATTATGATCCATCCAGGATCTAGACATAGAGTATCCCTCCTTATCTTCTGGGCCTATGTGCTAAAGCATCCTCTCTGGTGGACGCCTGAAATCTTGGCTAGTTCCAAACCCCGTATTTACCACAATTGTTAATCTCGTCACTGAGGGGACTAAGTGACTGAAGAGAGGTAGCCTATATAGCATGGATACACTGGATAAATAGATGATTCATGATCCATGTGGAATGGAGCAAAATCCTATCACACTTCTCAGAATGGCACATAATTTCAAATTAATCAGTTTAACTCTATGGATATTACATTTAATATCGTCAAACCATGGTTGATCATGAAAACCATGAAAAGAATGGAAGGTAAAACCACAGATTAATGTACAAAGAACTGAAACTGTCTCTTTTGCCAAGACCTGACATTGGTAGCCAGCTTCTGTCCTAGAAAGGCATTCAGGACAATAGCAAGAGGGGAATTACCACCAAACTGCCTTTTCATCTAGCTCAGTCTTCTGTTCCTTACTAACTGGGTACAGTCCTTGATGTTATCTGTAACAATACAACAGAAGCCCAAAACTACCAAACCCAGGCATCACCACACGTTACTGCTGAGTTCCTCAGGGTCCTCGGAGGTTCATTGTAGCTGCAGTGTTACCTCATTCAACCAAAGAATTTGTCAAGGAACTTCACTGCTGCTACAAGTACTGGCCACTCCTTCCATTATCTCCACAGTGTGTTTTGGGAGAATCTTGGCCTGCAGGGTATTCTAAGGGGTAGCAACCTTTTCTGTGGTTTGCCGGGTATGCTTTTTTTTTTTTTTTGTACTGCTGCCTCTACAATAACCACTGTTGATATTTCAGCACCGCCATTCTCCCCTCAAGTGGAAGATTACAAACTATTTTAAGCATAACCCCAAAATCTGTACTGAGCATGAAGCTCTGTAGCCGCTATTCTGTGCTATGCTGTGCAGTGCTGTGATGTGATGTGCAGTGGGGTGGTATGATGTG